TTAAAGCTTCCTTTGTGGGATTGTTCCTATCGGTTGCAAAATATTTGAGCCTGCTGTCACAGAATGATTCCAGCATTTCCAAACCAGCCTCAGTTCCTGCTTTAGCCCAATCAACATCTTTAACAGCACGATCAACATCAATGAAACTATCCACTGCTTCCCAATCCACTGCCTTTGGAAAGTTACAGATAATGAACCTTTACAAACATACACTAAGGATACTTAAACTGGGAAAATTTACTTATATAGATGACCTAGAAAAACTGGCTGTACAGCTTGAACAAACCAATCTTCAAAAGGAGAAATGCCCTGGATGTTGGAGCTTCCAACTGATTGATGCATTATGTTCAATGGCCCATAGGTTTACTAATAAGCTAATAAAATTTCAAATCCTTGTCTTCTTTGAATTGTGTTAAACTTTGCTTACATGTACAAACTAAAATTGATTGAGTAATTTATTTTGGACATGCCTTAGTTATTTGAAGCCACTTAGGGTGAAAAGACATTGCTCTCCACTCCCATCAGACACAAAATAGAGATGTAACAAATTACATGTTCATAGTTGCATGTCCATCCATACTGTCAGTTGGAGATCTCTGTTTTCAATTTAATGTCTTTAAGTTTAAGTATGGACCTGAACTTTGGTGAAAAGAGGATGCTTCTCTTCTTCAGATAAGAAATAAGTTTCTTAATTTTCTTAACATGATTTGAAAGATTGTACAGCTAGAATGATTTATGAGAACACTGTTATACTTTACATCTTTGTGAAAACATGTAAAATGGAATGAATACTAAAAAATGGAGGAAAACACACAGGTCTTAATTACACAGCTAGTAATCATATAATGAATGAATAAGATAAAAGGTGAAGGGACATAAATTATGGCAGACACAAGAATAGAGAGTAGCTTGCCATAGAGCAGCACAATATGCTGAAATGTGCTGGGAGTAATAAATGTTGTACAACTTAAATTCTACCTCACATTTATGTCATAATCTCCAG